CTGGACCTCAAAGCCAGTTCCACTGCTTTTTTAAATTGTTCCTCTCTAACCAGGGACTGATTTAGACCTGGGACACCAGGTGGGTGCAATTAATTACAGTGGGGAAAAAAAGTATTTAGTCAGCCACCAATTGTGAAAGTTCTCCCACTTAAAAAGATGAGAAAGGCCTGTAATTTTCATCATAGGTACACGTCAACTATGACAGACAAATTGAGAATAGTTTTTCCAGAAAATCACATTGTAGGATTTTTTATGAATTTATTTGCAAATTATGGTGGAAAATAAGTATTTGGTCACCTACAAACAAGCAAGATTTCTGGCTCTCACAGACCTGTAACTTCTTCTTTAAGAGGCTCCTCTGTCCTCCACTCATTACCTGTATTAATGGCACCTGTTTGAACTTGTTATCAGTATAAAAGACACCTGTCCACAACCTCAAACAGTCACACTCCAAACTCCACTATGGCCAAGACCAAAGAGCTGTCAAAGGACACCAGAAACAAAATTGTAGACCTGCACCAGGCTGGGAAGACTGAATCTGCAATAGGTAAGCAGCTTGGTTTGAAGAAATCAACTGTGGGAGCAATTATTAGGAAATGGAAGACATACAAGACCACTGATAATCTCCCTCGATCTGGGGCTCCACGCAAGATCTCACCCCGTGGGGTCAAAATGATCACAAGAACGGTGAGCAAAAATCCCAGAACCACACGGGGGGACCTAGTGAATGACCTGCAGAGAGCTGGGACCAAAGTAACAAAGCCTACCATCAGTAACACACTACGCCGCCAGGGACTCAAATCCTGCAGTGCCAGACGTGTCCCCCTGCTTAAGCCAGTACATGTCCAGGCCCATCTGAAGTTTGCTAGAGTGCATTTGGATGATCCAGAAGAGGATTGGGAGAATGTCATATGGTCAGATGAAACCAAAATAGAACCTTTTGGTAAAAACTCAACTCGTTGTGTTTGGAGGACAAAGAATGCTGAGTTGCATCCCAAGAACACCATACCTACTGTGAAGCATGGGGGTGGAAACATCATGCTTTGGGGCTGTTTTTCTGCAAAGGGACCAGGATGACTGATCCGTGTAAAGGAAAGAATGAATGGGGCCATGTATCGTGAGATTTTGAGTGAAAACCTCCTTCCATCAGCAAGGGCATTGAAGATGAAACGTGGCTGGGTCTTTCAGCATGACAATGATCCCAAACACACCGCCCGGCAACGAAGGAGTGGCTTCGTACGAAGCATTTCAAGGTCCTGGATTGGCCTAGCCAGTCTCCAGATCTCAACCCCATAGAAAATCTTTGGAGGGAGTTGAAAGTCTGTGTTGCCCAGCGACAGACCCAACACATCACTGCTCTAGAGGAGATCTGCATGGAGGAATGGGCCAAAAAAACAGAAACAGTGTGTGAAAACCTTGTGAAGACTTACAGAAAACGTTTGACCTGTGTCATTGCCAACAAAGGGTATATAACAAAGTATTGAGAAACTTTTGTTATTGACCAAATACTTATTTTCCACCATAATTTGCAAATAAATTCATAAAAAATCCTACAATGTGATTTTCAGGATTTTTTTTTTCATTTTGTCTGTCATAGTTGACGTGTACCTATGATGAAAATTTACAGGCCTCTCTCATCTTTTTAAGTGGGAGAACTTGCACAATTGGTGGCTGACTAAATACTTTTTTCCCCACTGTATCAGGCAGAATAGAAAACCAGACCTCATATGGTAAGAGTTGAATACCCCTGCCCTATATAGTACACTACACTACCATAGGGCTCTGTTCAAAAGTAGTGCACTATGCAGGGAATAGAGTGCCATTTAGGACGCAGGCAAAATATGGTTTTAGAGGTTGTTCCAGCACACAGGCGGTGAGGGAATATTTGGCTCCATCAGCAGCTCGGTTTATTATCGGTCAGTGAAATGAGGTACTATGGATGGTATATAGGCCTAGATTTGATGTATCTCACATTCTTACTGCAGAGGATGGAAAGGCTGCTGTGTAGAATTAGTGGGTTGGTTCCGAGCTGAAACACTGTATAGATTATATATTAGCCACTACTCTTAAACCATTGGATACCGTCTACCACAGCGCCCTTCGCTTTATTACAGGTGACAGTTTTAATACTCATCACTGCATCCTGTATCAGAAGGTTGGCTGGACCTCACTAAAGTCCCATAGATCACTTCATTACTCGCTTCTTGTTTACAAAGCTCTGCTCCACAAGCTTCCAACATACCTCACTTCCCTGTTGAAATATAAAAATATGAGATACCAAACCAGTTCGCAGGGTTGGTTAACTCTTGAGTTCCCGCTTGTCTCCACAAATTTGGTAAATCCACCTTTTAGTTTTAATGCACCTCAGTAATGGAATACCTTACTAAACAAATTACAAATTCCCTGGTGCTGATCAGGTAGTTTAAAACTCTGTTGTAAAATGAGTTTGTGCAATTGTTTCAATTGACTATTATACTGTAACTTATTGTAATAGCCTGATGTAATGTATTTATAGCTGTCTTGTAGTTTTTATCTTTTTTGTTGTGTTGATTGATTTTTTTCCCTCAGGGCACCATTGCAAATAAGACACTGGTCTCAATTGGGCTCCACTGAATAAATAAAAGTAAATAAGAAGAGACAGCCTATTGCTGTGGTGCATGATCAGGTTGTATTGGACGAGGCTATCCATAGGGGCCAGAGCACTGCCTCAGTCGCCTCATAGAAAGACCTTCAAACCCTCACTGGCTTGATCCTCCATTGAGGATCCATCCGCCATTCATCCAAGCATACACAAGAATAGGGTGTCATTTCAGACACAGCTGCTTTAAAGTTCCTTGTGTTCACTTGCCTTCTTCCCAGGTTAACACAAGGATGTGGCTTATTGGGTTCCTCAGGGAGCAGTACCACAACTGTTCTTCAAAAGCTCAGAGGTTCAAAGGAATGGATATTCTTAGTTCTAACGTGTCTCTGTGCCTTAGAGGATTTCTTAAAAGTCACAGTATGCAGTCCACAATACTTTCACAACTTCAAGTTTGGAATAAAAAATCAAAACTGCTTTTGACTTTTTTGTCTGATTTAGGGGTTTACTGTACAGTATTGGACAATAATTATTTCATATGTGAATTTTGACTTGTGTGTGGGCCTGCTTAAAGTGACTTCTGGGAAAGGATAAGCTTATTGTAATGACCTCTAATTAGATTTGAGATACTTCAGTAAAAATGTATACTCTATTATTAGAAGAAAAAAAAAGAACTGTGTTAAGTGAGACTAGGCATTGGTCTGAAGCCGAAAAATAAAGGAAATTCACAAGCACCACAATGCCTTCTCCACCCATGCTCTACCAAGGTTTTCCAGCACACAGCTTTGACCTACTACAGTAGCTATGTTGGTATTGTACTTTAAACTATGTGTAGGCAGGTTGCTTATGATTCAAACCTTCTCAAACAGCCTACTTCATACTCTTAGAGGAGGTGCTTCCACAATAATGGGCCCTGATACTACACAACGAGCAATGAGGAAGTGAATCGCAGCTGGGGTAAGTTTCTCAAAAACAAGCCAAATCACACAAAAGGTGTCTGGACCCTTCTATAACAGCCAATTTACATAAAAAATTGAGATTTACTTTAGAAATGGGAAAATTCTGTGTAAAAGTTATTGGCACCAGTGCCACCAGGGGAAATGTTAGTATGGAGCCCTGGTGCTTGTCCAACATGATGTACATCTCCAGAGAATTCATACCCAGGCAGAATTCCTGGCAGGCCTACTCTTAATGATGTAGAACGTTATGGTGTTGCTTAGGAGGTGTAAGGTTGTAACATTCTACTATAGCTCACCCCTCAGGGATGTGACACCGAGCGTTAGTGACATTTGGTGTTAGTGTGTCTTGGCCTCCATTATTGTTAATGAGAAGCATCTATGATTGAGGCTTGACAGCAGAACGAGATCTAGGGCACATGTCCCAAATGGCACCCTATTCCCTATATAGTAGTGCACAACTTTTGACTAGGGCCATGTGAATAAAGGGCTATTACAGACCTACCACCATTCAGAGCTGCAGGTTGACGTGGTGAAGAAAATGACAGTGTGTATAAGAGGTGGTGCATGGATGTGTTTATTTCAGCCACAGATGAAGATGTCTGTAAATAGCATATGGTAACGGCTCTGCCAACACACTTGGCACAGCCTGGGAAAGAGACAGAATTTGTTGGCGTGCCTACATATTAATACGCAGTTGATTTTATATCTGTACCTCATGCAGATACGAAGCTACTGGAAATGTGGTTAATTAGCTATTGAATAGTAGACTATTCCAGGTAGTTATTGAACAGTAGGCCTATTGAAGATTCATATTTGGCTACTTCACTTTCTTTATTTTACTGTTACAACAGTTAAACAGGGGCCTGTTTGTCCTATACAGCTTTTTAGCAGAAAGGTGAAGTAGCCTACGTGTATAATGTTCATGTTCTCAGTCAGTTGTTCAGTTCAGTGGTGGGTCTGATAGGCCAGTGGTGGGTCTGATAGCCCAGTGGTGGGTCTGATAGCCCAGTGGTGGGTCTGATAGCCCAGTGGTGGGTCTGATAGGCCAGTGGTGGGTCTGATAGGTCAGTGGTGGGTCTGATAGCCCAGTGGTGGGTCTGATAGCCCAGTGGTGGGTCTGATAGCCCAGTGGTGGGTCTGATAGCCCAGTGGTGGAGGAGTATGAGGAGAAGGATGGCTAATCTTAATGGTTTCTATAAAGACATGTTGTCAGTGTAAAAAGGATGACATGAGAAGCTCACTCTGCCTGAGTGTCTCTCTCCCACTCACCCTTCGCTAGCTACTACATTAGTGAATTCATGTTTGTCAAGCCAAAGGGTGTGGGAGGGGAAAGGGGGCTGAAAGACATACAGTGCTGTCACCTAAATGTTATGCTTGGATTGAGAGGGGAGAATATACATCACTGTGCCAAATCATGCAAGGACATGATAGGGGGTACTTTATCACCGTGGGTGAAGTGGTACATGATATCTGTGCTAGGGACAGTAGGTGATGGGGCTGCAAAGGCCTATTTACTGTACAATGAAGTCAATGGGCTGGATTCACCCAAAAATGGAGATGCATTAATCAGGTAATGAATGTGACTTCACTAAACGCTAGAGACATTAATTAGCATGGTACACTTTGGGGAGAGCCATTACAAGTTCAAGGACCTCTCGCTTTCTCTCTCTCTCAATTACTTCCCCCCCCCCCCCCCCCCCAATTTCAATTGCTTAATTGCATGTACATATTGCCTAAGCTCTCTCTCGCTCTCTCTCGCTCATGAAGTTACTTTTAAAAGCTTTTTCTGTCCATATTTTATGCCACATTTTAAAGCCTTAGCCTATGACTCAGTCAGCTGTTAGCAGTGGCAACAACCATGAACATGCATTGTGATTCACTACAGCCACATACCTTACATAGACCATAAACACCATTACCCATTTTATAGGTGCCTTTATTTTCCCCAAGCTGTAAAGCCTTGTTTCCACTAATAAGCTATTTATACCAACAGGCTTGTGTGGGTGACAGTTTCAATAAAGTTTATATAGTCACATATAGGGCTGGAAATTGCCAGGGACCTCACAATATGATATTATCATGATACAGTGCCTTGCAAAAGTATTCATCCCCCTTGGCATTTTTCCTATTTTGTTGCATTACATATCTGTAATTTAAATTGATTTTTATTTGTATTTCATGTAATGGACATACACAAAATAGTCCAAATTGGTGAAGTGAAATGATTTTTTTTTTTTTGTTGTTTCTAAAAATTATAACTAATCAATAACGGAAAAGTGGTGCGTGAATATGTATTCACCCTCTTTGCTATGAAGCCCCTAAATAAGATCTGGTGCAACCAATTTCCTTCAGAAGTCACATAATTAGTTAAATAAAGTCCACCTGTATGCAATCTAAGTGTCACATGATCTGTCACATGATCTCAGTATATATACACCTGTTCTGAAAGGCCCCAGAGTCTGCAACACCACTAAGCAAGGGGTACCACCAAGCAAGCGGCACCATGAAGACCAAGGAGCTCTCCAAACAGGTCAGGGACAAAGTTGTGGAGAAGTACGGATCAGGGTTGGGTTATAAAAAAATATCTGAAACTTTGAACTTCCCACGGAGCACCATTAAATCCATTATTAAACAATGGAACGAATATGGCACCACAACAAACCTGCCAAGAGAGGGCCACACACCAAAACTCACGGATCAGGCAAGGAGGGCATTAATCAGAGAGGCAACAAAGAGACCAAAGATAACCCTGAAGGAGCTGCAAAGCTCCACAGCGGAGATTGGAGTATCTGTCCATAGGACCACTTTAAGCCATACACTCCACAGAGCTGGACTTTATGGAAGAGTGGCCAGAAAAAAGCCATTGCTTAAAGAAAAAAATTAGCAAACACGTTTGATGTTCTCCAAAAGGCATGTGGGAGACTCCCCAAACATATGGAAGAAGGTACTCTGGTCAGATGAGACTAAAATTGAGCTTTTTGGCCATCAAGGAAAACGCTATGTCTGACGCAAACCCAACACCTCTCATCACCCTGAGAACACCATCCCCACAGTGAAGCATGGTGGTGGTGGCAGCATCATGCTGTGGGGATGTTTTTCATCGGCAGGGACTGGGAAACTGGTCAGAATTGAAGGAATGATGGATGGCACTAAATACAAGGAAATTCTTGAGGGAAACCTGTTTCAGTCTTCCAGAGATTTGAGACTGGGAGGTTCACCTTCCAGCAGGACAATGACCCTAAGCATACTGCTAAAGCAACACTCGAATGGTTTAAGGGGAAACATTTAAATGTCTTGGAATGGCCTAGTCAAAGCCCAGACCTCACTCCAATTGAGAATCTGTGGTATGACTTAAAGATTGCTGTACACCAGCGGAACCCATCCAACTTGAAGGAGCTGGAGCAGTTTTGCCTTGAAGAATGGACAAAAATCCAGTGGCTAGATGTGCCAAGCTTATAGAGACATACCCCAAGAGACTTGCAGCTGTAATTGCTGCAAAGGGTTGCTCTACAAGGTATTGACTTTGGGGAGGTGAATAGTTATGCATGCTCAAGTTTTCTGTTTTTTTGTCTTATTTCTTGTTTGTTTCACAATAAAAAATATTTTGCATCTTCAAAGTGGTAGGCATGTTGTGTAAATCAAATGATACAAACCCCCAAAAAATACATTTTATTTCCAGGTTGTAAGGCAACAAATTAGGAAAAATGCCAAGGGGGGTGAATACTTTTGCAAGCCACTGTACTTACATTTTTTACATTTTAGTTAGCAGATGCTCTTATCCAGAATGACTACAGTTCATATTAAGATAGCTAGGTGGGACGACCTCATATCACAGGCATAGTAAGTACATCTTTCTTCAATAAAGTAGGGCGGCAGGTAGCTTAGTGGTTAAGACCGTTGTGCCAGTAACCGAAAGGTCGCTCGTTCTAATCCCCGAGCCGACTAGGTGAAAATCTGTCTGTGCCCTTGAGCAAGGCACTTAACCCTAATTGCTCCTGTAAGTTGCTCTGGATAAAAACAAAATAATAATAATAGCTATCAGCAAAGTCAGAGCTGGGGTGGGGGGAGTCAAGTGTTGGTTCAGGAATTAAATGTTTTATACATACTGAACAAAAATGTAAACGCAACATGCAACAATTTCAACTATTTTACTAAGTTACAGTTCATATAAGGAAATCAGTCAATTTAAATTAAATAGGCCCTAATCTATGGATTTCACATGACTGGGAAGGGGTGCAGCCATGGGTGGGCCTGGGAGGGCATAGGCCCACTGTAGTAGAAATTCTAATCAATAATGAGGAGAGACAAGGTCACCCACTGGGGAGCCAGGCCCAGCCAATCAGAAATAGTTTTTCCCCACTAAAGGGCTTTATTACAGACAGAAACACTCCTCAGTTTCATCAGCTGTCTGGGTGGCTGGTCTCAGACGATCCCGCAGGTGAAGAAGTCGGAAGTGGAGGTCCTGGTCTGGCGTGGTTACACGTGGTCTGCGGTTGTGAGGTCGGTTGGACGTACTACCGAATTCTCTAAAACGAAGTTGGAGGCAGCTTATGGTAGAGAAATGAACATAAAATTATCTTGCAACAACTCTGGTGGACATTGCTGCAGTCAACATGCCAATTACATGCTCCCTCAAAACTTGGGACATCTGTGGCATTGTGTTGTGTGACAAAACTGCACATTTTAGAGTGGCCTTTTATTGTACCCAGCACAAGGGGCACCTGTGTAATGATCATGCTGTTTAATCAGCTTCTTGACATGCCACACCGTTCAGGTGGATGGATTATCTTGGCGAAGGAGAAATGCTCACTAACAGGGATGTTAACTAATTTGTGTACAGAATTGGAGAGAAGTAAGCTTTTTGTGCATATGGAACATTTCTGGGATCTTTTATTTCAGCTCATGAAAGATGGCACCAACACTTTACATATTGTGTTTATGTTTTTGTTCAGTGTGTGTGTGTGTGTGTGTGTTTGTGTGTGTGTCACCAGATCTTAACCCATTTAACAGTTATGGGATATTCTGGAGTGGCGCCTGAGACATCGTTTTCCACCACCATCAACAAAACACCAAATTATGGAATTTTTCATGAAAAAATGGTGTCACATCCCTCCAGACACTTGTAGAATCTGTGCCAAGGCACATTGAAGCTGTTCTGGCAGCTCGTGGTGGCCCAACGCCCTATTAAGACACTTTATGTTGGTGTTTCCTTTATTTTGGCAGTTACCTGTATATTGTAATGTACATTACATTACCAAAAGCTTGTCGAACGTCTCATTCCAAAATCATGGGCATAAATATGGAGTTGGTCCCCCCTTTGCTGCTAGAACTGCCTTCTCTCATCTGGGAAGGCTTTCCACTAGATGTTGGAACATTGCTGCGGGGACTTGCTTCCATTCAGCCGCAAGAGCATTTGTGAGGTCGGGCACTGATGTTGGGCGATTAGGCCTGGCTCGCAGTCGGCGTTCCAATTCATACCAAAGGTGTTCGGTGGGGTTGAGGTCAAGGCTTTGTGCAGGCCAATCAAGTTCTTCCACACCAATCTCGACAACCATTTCTGTATGGTCTTCACTGGAACTTCACTGGAACTAAGGGACCTAGCCCGTACCATGAAAAACAGCCCCAGACCATTATTCCTCCTCCACCAAACTTTACAGTTGGCACTATGCATTGGGGCAGGTAGCGTTCTCCTGGCATCCGCCAATCCTAGATTTATCCGTCGGACTGCCAGATGGTGAAGCGTGATTCATCACTCCAGAGAACGTGTTTCCACTGCTCCAGAGTCCAATGGCGGCAAGCTTTACACCACTCCAGCCAACTCTTGGCATTGCGCATGGTAATCTGTGGCTGCTTGGGCATGGAAACCCATTTCAGGAAGCTTCCGGCGAACAGTTGTTGTGCTGACGTTGCTACCAGAGGCAGTTTCAGCACTCGCGGTCCCGTTCTGTGACCTTGTGTGGCCTACCGCTCCGCGGCTGAGCCGTTGTTGCTCCTAAACGTTTCCACTTTACAATAACAGCACTTAAAGTTGACCGGGGCAGCTCTGGCAGGGCAGACATTTGACGAACTGACTCAGTAAGGCCATTTTACTGCCAATGTTTGTCTTTGGAGATTGCATGGCTGTGTGCTCGATTTTATACACGGGTCAGCAACGGGTGTGGCTGAAATAGCTGAATCCACTAATTTGAAGGGGTGTCCACATACTTTTGTATATACAGTGCATTCCACATTTTGTGATGTTACAGCCTTATTCTAAAATTGATTAAATTAAATTATTTCCTCATCAATCTACAGACAATACCCCATAATGACAATGCGAAGACAGGTTTTTAGACTACCTTATTTATATAAGTATTCAGACCCTTTGCTATGAGACTCAAAATTGAGCTCAGGTGCATCCTGTTTCCATTGATCATCCTTGAGATGTTTCTACAAGACCCTTCCTAGAGCTGGCCGCCTGACCAAACTGAGCAATTGGGGCAGAAGGGCCTTGGTCAGGGAGGTGATCAAGAACCCGATGGTCACTCTGACAGAGCTCCAGAGTTCCTCTGCGGAGATGTGAGAACCTTCCAGAAGGACAACCATCTCTGCAGCACTCCACCAATCAGGTCATTATGGTAGAGTGGCCTGACGGAAACCACTCCTCAGTAAAAGGCACATGACAGCCCGCTTGGATTTTGCCAAAAGGCACCTAAAGGACTCTGACTATGAGAAACAAGATTCTCTGGTCTGATGAAACCAAGATTGAACTCTTTGGCCTGAATGCCAAGCATCACATCTGGAGGAAACCTGGCACCATCCCTATGGTGAAGCGTGGTGGTGGCAGCATCATGCTGTGGGGTTGTTTTTCAGCGGCAGGGACTGGGAGACTAGTCAGGATCGAGGGAAAGATGAACGGAGTATAGTACAGAGAGGTCCTTGATGAAAACCTGCTCCAGAGCGCTCAGGACCTCAGACTGGGGCGAAGGTTCACCTTCCAACAGGACAACGACCCTAAGCACACAGCCAAGACAACGCAGGAGTGTTGTCTAAAAACCTGTTTTTGCTTTGTCATTATGGGGTATTGTGTATGAGGGGAAAAAAACGATGTAATCAATTTTAGAATAAGGCTGTAACATAACAAAATGTGGAAAAAGTCAAGGAGTCTGAATAGTTCAATATGAGCGTGAGCTCTAAGTCCCTGTCATCAGCTTATTATCAGTAAGGCCATGTAATAGACCTTATTTGTGGACCTGAGGCTTTAGGTCAGACAATAACTATTTACAATAATGAGTGATACAGACAATCACCAATTCAACATTCTCCTTAATTAAGTAAATAGCAGATATGTGAAATTAATCTTTGAAGTGAGATGTTGTATTCTAGGTAGGACCATTATTAAAGAGAGGGTCTGTGTCTCAAATGGAACCCTATTCCCTTTATAGTGCATTCCTTTTGACCATATCCTGATTGGGCCCTGGTCAAAAGTAGTCCACTATGTAGAATAGGGTGACATTGGAAATATAGGATGACGCAGAGAGACGTTGGAAATGTATAATGATGGATTGCCGTATTGTGGTCCTTGTTGTTCCTCTGAGGGACTGGGAAAGTCACCTGCTTTGTTTCCTCTGTCTAACATCTACAGCCATAGAACACCCCTGAAGAAGACTAATGGAAAGGTTTCACCTGGTACTTTCTGTCAGGCACCTAGACACAAACTATGAATCTATAAATCATGTATTTTTTCTCTTTCTCTTTCTCTCTCCCTCATTTCCCCCTCCTTCTCCCCCTCTCTCCCAACCCTCTCCCTGCAGATGGAGAGAAGGACCACCCTAAGAAAGAGGCGGGGGTCATCTGGAGGGTGACCGGCGGTCTCTTCAACATGACCAGAGGGGCGGTCGGCGCGACATGGGGAGGCGTGGCCTGGGTGGGCTGTAAGAGCTATGACATCACCAAGACGGTGGTGACCAGCGTGCCGGCCGCCGGCATAGGATTAGTCAAAGGCGGCGTTTCCGTGGTGACGGGAGGAGTTGGGGCGGTAGGGTCCGCAGTAGCCAGTAAAGTTACACCAAAGAAAAAGGATAAGTCTGATTAGGCCTAGACCCAACTACCACCCCAATCTAGTTTACATATGTGTCCTTCCTTATCTGTCTGCTGTGTATAGGATCCATCTGGTTACTAATGGTAACGATTCAGAGTTGAGATAAGCGCAAGTAACTTGGATTTCCACATAAATCATTCAATGACATCAATGGGAGACTTGCGCGAAAAGCCAAATTAAGCTTGCGGATCTCAAGTCAGAATACTACCTTGAGGGAGCATTACAGAGGGAATTTGATGGGATTTGTTATGATTGGAATTGGAATTGGATATGGAATTGACAAGAATGTTGAACTTACTGCCTATGTACTTTTGAGAGGGATCTCATGTCTTTTTGATTGATCTGGGTGTGGGAAGGGTAGGGCATAATAATATGACGACCATTCACGATGTTTGTCATGCACAAGTACAATTTGGTAGCGATTCAGTAAGGACACATCTACATTTCTCAAAGACTTAAGGTGATTTACATTCTTCCGGTTTTATTATGAAACAGCATCTTTACATCAGTATTAAAACAAAGTGAAAGGTACTTTACACAACTTAATTTCATCAGTTTGACATCGGTGATTGGGGAATACACACCAAACAATGTGTGTATGTGAATATGTATGTGTTATAATAGATATGTGAATAATAGGTACGTGAATCCTATTGATCCAGATAGAGAAGGTAGGAGAGGGACCTTGCAGCCTTGAAACTCTGTTGCAGCTTGGATGTTTTATTGTACTGCAGGTGAGGGGATTTTTATTTTGCTTCATGATTTGGAGACGTGTTAAATAAAGCGTGTTATTACATAAAAACTGATCTAAAAAATCCTGAAAATGACCTTTTCGCATTAATGTTACATATATCAGCAGAGGTTCTGAGCTGTTTAAATAAATGAAACACCATTTCACCACCAAGGAAACACACGTATGTAAGGTCAAGGGTCATAGTTCATGCCTGCATGGCAAATGTCACCCTATTCCCTTTATAGTGCACTACTTTTGACCAGGGCTCTCTTGTCAAACGTAGTGCATTATATAGGGAATAGGGTGCCATGTGGGACTCATCCTATGACATTCACTTGTATGGACTTTACTCAAATCTGTATTTATGTGCCTACCTGTACAATGTACATACATTAGATAGATAAGTATTGATAGTTGATAGTTTACACTGACATTCCCGGAGTAGGAGGGACAGTTGAAAACAAACCTGCTTTTTCTTTCCATGAATCCCACTTGTAGCATGGGTGCCAATCTGTTTGGCATGAAAATGAGTTGGCAAGATGCCACAAACAGATCTGGAACCAGGCTAATTCATTTCCACATTGTTTACATTATTACCATAGTACTGAATTACTGTCCATTCTGATGAGACATGAAATGTACACCAATCTCCTTTTTCTTTTTGATTATATTTGAATATTCACTGAGTACATTTTTATTTGAAGTCTATAGAAAGAGAACACACTTGGCATGGTATGTCCACGGCCTTACGTTATGCATCGCATGCTTCAACTGGTTGTTTTTCCCTTCTTCCTGTACACAATATGCTGTTTATTGTTATGACAACTTTCGCCTATTTCATTTGAATGTTTTTTCCTCTTGTCCTGTTTTTTTTACTGTTTTCCTCTGCACTTACTTCTGCTAGTTAATATACACTACCAGTAAAAAGTTTGGACACACCTACTCATTCCAGAGTTTTTCTTGATTTTTTACTATTTTCTACATTTGTAGAATAATAGTGAAGACATCAAAACTATGAAATAACACATATGGAATCATGTAGTAACTAGAAAATGTTAAACAAATATATTTTAGATTTTAGATTCTTCAAAGTAGCCACCCTTTACCTTGATGACAGCTTTGCACACTCTTGGCATTCTCTTAACCAGCTTCATGAGGTAGTCACCTGGAATGCATTTCAATTAACAGGTGTGCCTTGTTAAAAGTTAATTTGTGGAATTTCTTTCCTTCTTAATGCGTTTGAGCCAATCAGTTGTGTTGTGACAAGGTAGGGGTGGTATACAGAAGATAGCCGTATTTGGTAAAAGACCCAGTCCATATTATGGCAAGAACAGCTCAAATAAGCAAAGCGAAACAACAGTCCATCATTACTTTAAGACATGAAGGTCAATCAATCCGGAACATTTCAAGAACTTTGAAAGTTTCTTCAAGTGCAGTCGCAAGAACCATCAAGCGCTATGCTGAAACTGGCTCTCATGAGGACTGCCACAGGAAAGGAAGACCCAAAGTTACCTCTGCTGCAGAGGATAAGTTCATTAGAGTTAACTGCATCTCAGATTGCAGCCCAAATAAATGCTTCACAGAGTTCAAGTAACAGACACATCTCAACATCAACTGTTCAGAGGAGACTGCTTGAATCAGGCCTTCATGGTCGAATTGCTGCAAAGAAACCACTACTAAAGGACACCAATAAGAAGAAGAGACTTTATTGGGCCAAGAAACACGAGCAATGGACATTAGACTGGTGGAAATCTGTCCTTTGGTCTGATGAGTCCAAATTTGAGATTTTTGGTTCCAACCGCTGTGTCTTTGTGAGACGCAGAGTAGGTGAATGGATGATTTCCGCATGTGTGGTTCCCACCATCAAGCATGGATGAGGAGGTGTGATGGTGTGGGGGTGCTTTGCTGGTGACACTGTCAGTGATTTATTTAGAATTCAAGGCACACTTAACCAGCATGGCTACCACAGCATTCTGCAGCGATACGCCAGTGATGGAGAGTGATGGAGTGCTGCATCAGATGACCTGGCCTCCACAATCACCCGACCTCAACCCAATTGAGATGGTTTGGGATGAGTTGGACCGCAGAGTGAAGGAAAAGCAGCCAACAATTGCTCAGCATATGTGGGAACTCCTTCAAGACTGTTGGAAAAGCATTCCTCATGAAGCTGGTTGAGAGAATGCCAAGAGTGTGCAAAGCTGTCATCAAGGCAAAGGGTGGCTACTTTGAAGAATCTCAAATATAAAATATATTTTGATTTGTTTAACACTTTTTGGGTTACTACATGATTCCATAAGTGTTATTTCATAGTTTTGATGTCTTCACTATTATTCTACAATGTAGAAAATAGTTTAAAAAAGAAAAACCCTTGAATGAGTAGGTGAGTCCAAACTTTTGACTGGTACTGTATGTATTGGAGACTTACTATAAACTGATGTGTGTTCCAAATGACACCCTATTCTCTATTTAGTGCACCACTTTTGACCAGGGCCCATAGGGGCTTTGGTCAAAAGTAGTGCACTGTATAGGGAACAGGGTGCAATTTGGGACACATCTCTGGACTTTTAAGACCAAGTAGATTGCTGTCTTTGATATAACTATTTTTGCAAAAACTGATGCTGTATTCTATAAATAAAGCTACTCTGTATTTTAATTCAGATTGTTGCATTTTATTCGGTCACTCTACCCCACCCTCACCCTCAGAGGATGTTATGGGTCTAGTTATAGGTCCAGCTGATAGGAAGGAAATCAATATCATGTATTGGAAAAGCAGAGAAATTTGTCAGAATATTCCAAAGTCTGCTTTTGTATTACATAGTATACATTTCCTTGACTCAAATCTCAGTAACCTTGACTCATCATTCAGTATTACTTTTCTGCTTCTGCTGGTGTTGTTGCATTCTTGACTATTCTCTCCCTCTACTCGCCTCCGTTATACTGTGGTGGCTATGCAGTGATAGGAGAGGAGATGAGGATAGACGTTCAGGTTGGGTTGTTTTCAACCACTCCAAAGCTGTGAAATAATGTACTTTCAGGTTTCTATTCCATCTGTATGTGGATGTGCGGTTCATTTTAGCTGCGGTCATGCCTCTATAATCTGTTCAGTGACACATGGCAACACAGTCAGCACCACACATATTACACCTATGGGCCCTGGTCAAAAGTAGGGCACTATAAAGGGAATAGGGTGTCATTTGGGACTGAGCATATGGGAAGTGGCTCAAGCTGTGCTCCATCATCTCTCCCCTGTGCTGTAAACTGTACCAAATCACCTAGGCGAGGGGAGGTGTTGGATCTATCTCTGATGTTACTGTCAGCCTTCATCTAGCAGCTGTCTCTTACTGACATGGTCTCTGCTCCTGTCCAGGGGGATACATCCATAACAATGAGCTAATGAGGCGTGATTTCGCCTGGCAAAGAGAATGTGCTCACTCGTCAGGACACTGTTGTTCAGAGGAGCTACCCAGCAACACAGCTACAGTAACACAATCACTTCAAACTGCAAAGACTGCAAATTAGTTTTGTTTTACCTTTATTCAATTGACATTTTTTTTGTATATATCCATAAAAATGATGCCAGCTTATTCATGATTTTGACCGGCTGAGAAACGCTGCCTGCCTGTCTGTCTCGTCCTAACTATGGGACAGCTGGAGATCAAATTTGAATATTGAAACAATGTTGCAAATGTCAGAGAGACCGACAGCAAGGTTTATACAAATCTCCATTGTTGAAAACTAAATGTTAGTCTAAAAGAAATGTGATATAATGTCTAGATGCTTTTTATAGTGGAGATCAAGTTTATAAAGTGCCTGACTCGGTTGATGAGACAGTGGATTGCGCAGTCAGATGGAACAGTGTAAATAGGCATTTTAACGTCATAGATTTAGCAGGTGGTAACTTGTGGAATAGACACCAGCTGGAATGCGGTTTTAACCAATCAGCATTCAGGATTAGACCCACCCGTTGTATAAATGAAAATAAGAGCTTCCAAATTAAACAAACACCCCAACCTCTCATGGTTTAAACCAGGGTTCCCCAACTGGCGGTCCTCTGGCTGAATTTGGCACTCGGGTGGTTTTATTTGGTCCCCCAAGTTTTCTGAGCAAAAAATAAATAAATACATTTATTTCGATCTTGGACATAATAGACTGTAAAAACACCAGGAAATCAGCTCCAAGTGATTTTAACTTAAGAAATCTGTTCCCAAGTATCCTCACATATAATAGATCATATAGAACTGTAAGCAAGGTATGAAATGAC